ACCAGGCCCCTTACCCTCTCGGCTGGGGGCGCGCTCAGGGAACCGGTGGCAGCGACGGCGGCCGTGCGCGCGCGTGAGTCACGCGGTGGCGGGGTGTTGCGCTGCCTCAGCGCGGTTCTGCCCAGGCGCGGGCTCCCGGAGCCTGAGTCAGGGGCCGGGTCATGAGTCCTGTGACCTTGGGCTAGTCAGGAACTTCCCTGAGCTGCTGTGTACCGTCAGAAAAATCTCTACAAGCGTTGAGTCAACACGACCGGCCAGCATATTGCCAGGCCCTGGAGACGCAGGGATGACCTGCGGTCAACGGGCTCTGGGTCTGGGAAGGCAAATGGACAGAGAGCTAGACGGCCCTGACGCAGGGGGTGGGGCACCCCCGGGTACTGTGGACGCCCTGCGGTGGGCATCCTGGGAAGAGGATGCAGGAGACTCCTGGGAGGAGGTGAGGAAGGCCCGAAGGATGGGAGGGCGTTCTGTGCAGAGGGGGCAGCAGGAGGGAGGAGCCCAGAGGTAAGAGAGTGTTAGGGGCAGAAATTCCAGACAGGGAGAGAGAGCAAAAAGCTGGGGGAAGTCCCAGCCTTAGCAGCCAGGCTGACGTAAGGAGCTGGACCTCAAAGGCAGGCAATGGCAGGTCACACGGGAAAATGCTGCCCTCAGGGAGGGGAGCCCAGTCAGGGAGAGTGGGCAGCCCGGCTTTAGCAGGGAGTGCCCTGAGGGGGCCAGGGACTGGCCAGGGGAGATGGAACCTGGCTGAAGGAAGAGGCCTAAGGTGGAGAGGCCTAAGGATGGACAGACAGACAACTGCTGAGGAGAGAAAATCAACAGGGTCAGGAGGCAGATTGGATGGGATGAGAGAGAGGATTGAGGAAAAGGAGGATCCCGGGCCTCTAGTGGGAGTCACTGGCTAGATGGGGGGCAATAAGAGAGTGGAGACAGAGGAGGGGCGGGAGTCAGTCTAAGAAGAAAAGGGCTCACTTCTGGACATGCCCAAGAGAGACCCACGTAAGTGAGGCCTGCCGGCATCTGACTGAGTCTGCATTTCCCGAGGATGGCTGGGCCGACCACGGAGGGAACACTGTGGTCACGTAGGGAGGCGTGAGGATCAGAACCTGGGTGAGGTTCCCAGATTGGGTGTGCAGAGTGGGATGACAGGGGGTCTGACAATCCGAAGTCCCCAACACCTAAGAGGTGGACATGAGGAGGAGAAAAAGAACAGGCAGAGTGGGTTGGAGACAGCTGTTGTTGTTACGTGCCATCGAGTCGGACTCGACTCATAGCGACCCCTCCTCGGGTTTCCGAGGCAGTTCCACTATGGAAGTAGATTGCCCAACTTTGCTTCTGAGGAGTGGCTGGTTGAGAGTGGATACAAGAGAGAGATGTTTCAAGGAGAACAGCGTGATGGAGCCCAGGAGGCCAAGGAATGGGTGTGGGCCATAAGATTGAACAGTTAGAAGGTTAGTTAGAAGGTTAGTGGTGTCTTGATCAACTTGTGGTGCTTGTGATGGGGCGAGACCAATGAGAACTGAGCAAGAGGTGAAAAAATGGGGACAATGAGCTTTCAGGACGTTTGGATGAAAGGGACAGAAGATGATTCCATCGTCGTTATAGAGTCAGTGGTGTTTTTTAAGGATGGGAGAGACTGGAGCTGTAGCTAGCGGCTGAAGTATTGGACAGCGCAGATGTAGACCATGTCCATCATCACAGCAAGTTCTACTGGGCAAGCCCTTTTCTAGAGGCATTGGTCTATACAATGGTGTGATTCTTCTCTCTAGCACGTGGAGAAGTAGAGAAGCCAGATTGTAGTATTGGCCTCTGGTTGCAGGTTTGCTGGTGAGACAGGAGATTGGGGGCTCCAGGAATTTGAGGATACATGTGAAATGATTTCTCAGATGACAGTTTCTCAGACACTAGACAGAAATGGGAGCAACCAGGAGGGCCTACCAGGCTAGAAATTGAGGGTTAAGGGAGGTTGGAGAGCAGATCTTGAAGGAATAAGGACTTGAAAGAACTAGAAGAATGAAAGACTCTGAGCAAAGAGTGGGAAGTTGGTGTTGAATATTTCAGAGGTGGAGTGTCCTGGTGATTGCTAGGGCCATAGGGAGGCGGTGGCTAGAGGGCCATGAAGGTAAAGGTCAATTTCAAGACTAGGCTGTTGCGTGAGTTGTGAACATGTACACTGAGTGCATGGATAGGTTGAGTACATGAATGTTGCAAGCATGGATTTGTTGTGTACATGGACTAGAGTTTCTGTATAGAAAGATGGAGTTAAGTATATGCATAGATTGTGTAAATGAGTGTCAAGTATATGGATGGGTTGTGGACATGGATGTTGCAAACATGAATAGTGAGAACATACATGCATTAAGTACATGGATAGGTTGAGAACATGGATGTTGAGGATATGGGTAGGTTGTAAATATGGGCACAGACATCTTTGAGGGTTTGGGAGTTAATGAAAACTGAGCCAGGGGCCAGAGCCTTCAGTGAATGATGGAGGATAATCATGGGTATGACAGTGGTGAGAAGAGATAGTGGGTGATAGAGTCAAGAGAAGGAGCTCTGGTGGCATAGTGCCTAAGGTGTTTGACTGCTAACCAGAAGATTGGTGGTTCAAACCCACCAGACAGCCCGTGGAAGGAAGACTGGGCATTCTATTTCCATAAGGACTTACCGCCTTGGAAACCCAAAGGAAGTTGCTATGAGTCGGAATCGACTCAATGGCAGTGAGTTTGGTTTTGGTAGAGTCAAGAGACGTAAGCCTTGAAGAGCAATGAGTTTTGTCTGGTGATGGAAGAGCAATGGTCTGAAAGCAGCAATGGGGAACTAGAGAATGCCACGGTGTAAAGGTTAGGTAAAATAAGGAATGTGAATGTACTTTATAGTAACCAAGAGCCTTACTATATTATAAATGATGAGTTAGTTAGCTGACTACCAACAGGGAAATCTATAAACATGATGGACCCCATGCATCCTTGATGTTATAAGAGACAGGACATTCAAGAAAACAGATGATCATCTCCAGCTCTGCTCCTAACTCTGGCCAAGAGATACCATGGCCAGGTCACTGCCCCTCTCCGGCCTCAGTTTCCTCATCTGTTCAATTAAGACATTGAACTGGATGCTTTCCAAGGGCCTTTCCAAATCCCAGAATCTCTGAGCTTTACAAATGTTGGGAATGAGGCTACCCAAAGTAGGCAACCAGCTGTGTGACTTGAGGCATGTGACAGTGGACCCCAGGCCTGTGTTGACCTAGTTAAAGTTCTGTCTAGGACTTCCCTATATACAAACCTCCAACTTACCTTTCAGGATTTAAGGGCTGGGGGTGCAAGGATCAAGAGACTTCTAGGTAAGAGACATATTAGGCAACCACCCATCTTCCTGAAATGCTCAGTGTGAATGGAATTAGAGGGTCCTGGGTGAGGTCACTATCTCACACCTAGAGGAGTTCTGCAGTGATGACTTCTGTTAAATAAACCCCCACCTGTTGATGTGCTAGTCTGTATTGCCATGTAGCAAGTGTGCTCTTAAAGCTGGACTCACCTATGAAACCAAACCAAACCAAACTCACTGCCATTAAGTCGATTCTGACTCATAGCGACTCCCTTTGGGTTTCTAAGGCATAAATCTTTACAAAGTAGATTGCCCAGTCTTCCTTCCACAAAGTGCCTGGTGGGTTTGAACTGCCAGCCTTCTGGTTAGCAGTCAGATGCCTTAGGCACTATGCCATCAGAGCTCCTTGACTTACCTATAGATCACCTGGTTATTCTAACTCTTCAGGGAACAAATAAACAGCTATGGGAGATGCTAAAGGGAAAACTCAGGATAATTGTTTTTTCATAGGTTAAGCCTGTAATCGTTCCTTCTGATGACTTCCCTCAGCTCGACCTCAGACTGGCAGGTTGGGACTCAGATCAGTGTACACTCGCCATGTTCTGTCCTCAAGCCCAGTCTCTTTCCTACCAGTTTGTTCAACTTGGCCCACCTCTGGTCCTCCCTTCTTCTCCCAGCTTGTCCAAGCGTCGTGCATCTGTGGGCTCCTGTCCTTCCATCCCCTCCAGCTGTCCAGTACAACCCCAGCCGAGCTCTCTGTGTTTACCTGTGGGTTGTCCAGCCAGGCCCAGCAGGACAGGCTCCGTGGTGGGGTCTGTGGCAGCATCTGCTGTAGTGTGGTCCGGGTCTAGGTCTGTGATTCTGCTTGGCATCAGTGGGTACGTAGCGATGTCTGATGTAGCCAGGTGGATGACACTGTCCAGTATAGGCCCCCCAATGGCTGAGTCTGGCCTGACCAGTGTAACTGAATCCATGGCTATTTCCAGCTTGTTTGTGTCCAGAACAGGAGACTCCATGGGGATGCCCAGCTTGGCTGTATTTGTTCTAGCCAAACCCATGGCTGTGTCCAACATAGCTGTGCCCACTGCAGCCATATTCATGGATGAGCCCAGCTTGACAGGGTCTGGTGATGCCAAACCCATGGCTGTGGTCCTTGTGGTCATATTTTGCTTGGCTGTACCTGCTGTAGTCTTGGGTGTGCCCAACTTGGTTTTGCCAACTGTAGTGAAATTTATCGCTGTGTTTGGCTTGGTTGTGCCTGCTGTAACCAGGTTCATGGTTTCACGTGACTTGGCTATTC